AAAGTGATGTCTTCTCTACATCACCATGTGTCCCCGGTGTGTCAGGAGACTCACAAAGTGATGTCTTCTCTACATCACTATGTGTCCCCGGTGTGTCCCCGGTGTGTCAGGAGACTCACAAAGTGTCAGGAAATAAACCCCTCTCTCTTTTCCTCCGTACCCACATCTCTAAAAACGGGGGAACAACGGAGCTGATCCAGATTTGCTGCGTCATGACGACATTACTAAAATGTGGGCGGGCTTTAAACCCACGGGCCTATCAGAAACGTTGCTGTCAGAAACAATGAGACGTGTTCTGGAAGTAATATGGTCTGTGTTTACATTAGCATGCTAACACTCAGAGCTAACCTGTGCTGGAGAGAGCATGTGTGAAGAAGCAGGAAATAAAAAGGAAGTCACCTTGTGGTAAACCTGAGAGAGAGAAAGCCTTTGAGCTCCATACTGTTTCAGAGAGAATCCTTGATGTGGTTTGGAACATGATATGGCGTAATAAGCTAAGGACCCAGAATCATCTCTTTAGTAACAGGGCTGAAATAGAGGGGGATGATGATAGAATGGGTGATCTGTTTGGTATTTTGAGCAAAACCCTTCATAGACATGTTTTTTATATATCTGAGACCTATACTATATTGTTCAAATATAGCATAATAGGTGAGCTTTGAATAAGGCTGTTAGTGTCCTGCAGAGGGTAGTAAGATGTTTCAGAAATAAGTGAAAACCCAGTAAAAGAAAAGAGGGATGCATTGCATAGAAAGTGGAATAACACTTTACTAAGTTACTCAACCCCACTGCACCATTTGGGGAACGTAGGCTGCTTTGTGAATGATTCATAACACCGTTTTATGAGATGTTTTATATCTACGTTTATGCCTAGTTTTTTTTAATATGCATCCACGGAGAAGCTGCACATAATGCATTTAAACAGCTGGCGTCTGTCGGACCCACAGCGATTGATTTTACTCTGAGAGGTTCAGAGAGACAGCCTCCTGCAGTTCAACTGTTTATTTACACACCTCACTTAATGCATGGAGCGCTCCACAGCTGTGTGGAGGCTTCATGCAGGGCAGTTAAATGGTACTGGTGGGTTTTTTCTTTGGGAAAGAGCCATATTGGACGGAGCTACACAGGCGAGATTGTTTTTTAGTAAAGCTATTACATTGTCTGCTTCTATTTCTTCAAGCAAGCGTGTGATGTTTTACTTCAGCTAACACAGTAGCAGAGGTTAGCAGAGCGTTGGGACTCGGCTGTATTTACTTTGTTCTGCTCGGGTCATTTATTATCAATGTGTTTTGTGTTTGGAGACGGCTTTTTTGAGACATAAAAGGCCTGTTTCTTCATGAAATAGAAATGCTGGGAGGTACTTTGTAATGTTATCTAACATAAGTGACAAATACTTAACCAGTTACATTAGCAAACACTACTGGCAGTGACTTAGAAACCAATAACATTAGCCAACATTATCAGGAGGGACTTAAAAGCCAGTAATGTTATTTAACATTGCTGATAATGGCTTAAAAACCAGTGACTTAAGAACCAGTCATGTAAGCTAGCATTACTGACAGATATCTAAGAAATAGAAAGGTTAGCTTACATTTCTGACAGCGATTTAAGAACCAGTTACGTTAGCAAACATTATTAGGAGAGACTTAAGAGGATGCAACGTTTGCTCAATCCTTGCAGAGACGTAAGAACCATTAGCATTAGCTAGCATTACTGAAAGAAACTTAAGAACCAGTCCCGCTAGCTAACTTTACTGAAAGGTATTTTAAAAACAAGTATCATGCTTTACTGACAGAGACTCAAGAACGATAACTAACATTACTGACAGATTTAGGAACCAGTAACATTAGCTAACATTACTTACAGATACTTAAGATCTGTAAGAGCATTACTGACAGAGACTCAAGTACGTCAGCTAACATGGCTTAAAGAACCGTAATATGCTAACATTTTTGGCATAGGCTTTAGAACCACTCAAGTAAGCTAACATTACAGATACAATCTTAAGAATCAGTCACGTTAGCTAACATTAATGGCAGAGACTGAATAGCCATTAGTGGTAGATAGCATTACCGACAGAGACCTACAATCTCCCTGCTGAAAAAACCAGCTAAGACCAACAAGGCTGGTCAGGCTGGTTTACCAGCCTGACCAGCCAGTCAATATTAGGCTGGATTAGTTTGCTGGTTAAGAGGGGTTTTGGACACTTTAGCTGGTCAGGATAGCTGGTTTGGTCACAGTGTTTTAGCTGGTCACCATTAGCTGGTCAGACTTGTATGATCTTGAGTAGAACTTTAACTGGGATTACTTGATGGTTAAGCTGGTCATATATGATGATGAAACACTCTCACCCAATTGCAGTAGCTCAATCTATCATTTCAGATCAGAGCACCTACCTTACCAGAAAGGTACCAGAATGTAGTATTGTCTGTAAATAAATACTCATACATCAAATGATTAGAAGCAGGAAAATAATTTATAACACACAATGAACATTAACACAAATTTGAAAACATTTTCAAAACACCCATTACTTCATATTTTTAAGCAATTTCCTTCAACTGTTTCTTTCCGCTTTTCACAAGGTCCTGTATTTTTTGTAAAATGTAGTAACTGGCCAACTTTTCCCTCTCTGTCTTCTCCACGTTTTGTGAATTCAGCCATCCTCTGAAGCACTCTTGAAAAGAGAAAGGAAAAACAGATTAACTTTTAGCTTTGTGTTATGATTACTTAAAGGGGACCTATCATGCAAAATGCACTTGTGTACGTCTTTTCTACATGAATATGTGTCCCCGGTGTTCCAGGGAACTCACCAAGTGTCAGAAAACACAACCCTCTCTATTTTCCTCCATACCCAAATCTCTAAAAAAGGGGCTGCAACGGATCTGATAAAAACTGATCCAGATTTGAACACTGTCCTGACGTCAGGACGGTGGCACTACGGCTATTGGGCCAACTCCACCAATCAGGAGGAGACAGCCACGGCCATTGCCGTTCGAAAGCGCTGGAGACGCTGTAGTACATATGCCAGGCCTGTAAGTGGCGCTGTAGTCTGCCACAAAAGCAGACTCTTTCCATACATTTTAAGACCTCATCGCCACTTTGAGTTCTAACCGGTTACATTGGCGACACTTCACCTCACATTGACTATATACAGTATTGATTGTCCTTCCTCCTTATCTTCCAACCATTTGGACGCAAACTTGCATTTCCCCATAACGATGTTGTTTAACAACCGGCGTAAACGGACCTTCGCGCGCTATCAAGCAGTGAGCGTGCGAGTGTACATTCAGGCACACTGTAGAATACAACCTCTTTGGACAATTTATATACTTATTGAAAACAAGCTACAAAATGTAATACTTGGAAAATGCCGATTAATACTTTGAAATAGCCTTAATTTTCGCTAAATTGATTTATCAACTTTTAATACTTTTTAAGACCCTGCGGACACCCTGATATAGTATGATAGATATATTACTTTACACCCGGAAGTATGTATTGTCATTGTTATTGTCGATAAATTGAGGGATATACGCTATATTTTATTAACACACAGTATGTACTTTATACATCCACCTCGAGTGTTTGTCTCTGCACCGGAAATAATTTAATTTTAAAGTTCAACCGCATATTATATATAGACTATATCAGCGCCACACCTGCGTAACACATGGTGCCTCTTGTCTGAACAATTTTTTAAGCGATTTGTAATCTATTCTTGTCGACTTGCAGCCTAAATACAAAGATAACTCCACTCTCCTACCACTGCTTACCTCTAATGAGCCTTGGTAGAACTAGTGTCCGAGTCATGGGGTCCAGAACTGACTGAAGACATGTGGAACAGAGGACAGGCATGGTTCGATGTACAGGGAACTGGAACTTTGAACAGGTGTTTTCATCTTTCCTGCCTGAAGATTCTCAAGTTCTTGATCAGGTGTTTGATGTGGGCTGGCATGATCCTTTCTGCAGCGATGAATAAAGAAAACAAAGAAAACATTTTTAATAATAGTAATGATGGTAACAACAATTATATTAGTATAACTATTTATATAGCACTTACACAATTGCAAAGTGATTCTCCCAACAAAAATAAAGAACAAAACAATACTAACAATAAAAAAACAAATGACTATAGGAATGTTAAGAGACAAAGAAATTATAAACATTCTGAGAGGCCGACTACAAAAGGTAGACTCAATGGCTCTTGATGACATCAATGAGCAGTCCCAATAGATGCTGCTGTATACAAATAAATAGATTTATTCTATTTTGTGTTGGATGATTTGTTTTATTGATTGCTGATGGATGTATATATAGGGTTTATTGAACAGCAGTAAAGCATTAAGTTGCTAAATTAACGTACACTGAACTGTAAAACAACTTACCACTATTTAGGAAAGGCTCTGATCAGGAGGGTTGACTAGTAGGACAGCAAAGAGGTGGAGGAGGTCTATGTACAACCATTGGTAGATGTTACACCTGAAAGAAATATAAGGAAATAAAAGAAGACAGGAGTACAAACATCCTCTTAAAGGTGGGGTAGGTAAGTTTGAGAAACCGGCTCGAGATACACTTGTTGTTATATTCCATGGAATGCTCTTAACATCCTGATAGCAATGAATATCTGAAGTGCTTTGACAAAAAATCCATAAAAAAATATCATCAGTGGAAGCTGTAGTACTGTAAAAAGCACGACCAATCATCTGAGCCGGCCCGGCTAAAATAACTGGATGGCCTACCTGCCTGTCAGCCTTCCATCTGTGCACAAACTTATCTCGTGCCCTCATTGGTCATGTGCGCGTTCGTGTGTGTTGGAGGAGGGGCTCTGTGAGGAAGGGGCAGATTTTTTCCGGTTGTGTATTTTCAAATTATAGCGCACTCGAGCTGGTTTCTCCAAAATTACCTACCCCACCTTTAAGTAAAAGACCAAATCATGTCAAGCTTTAACTTGAGCCTGTTTTTTCAGTCTTTACAATGCACTGTTGGAAAATACCTTCCAAAGGCTAAATTCAAACTCAATACCATAAATAACTGGGTACCAAAGTGCTTTACCTGATCGAACACGTTCCACATGGAGCAGCAACCATCCGGCTCGGCCTTTTGCTGCATATCATCTCCTCCCTCTCCACTGTTTCCATTAGATCTCTACTGTCAAATAAAACTGAAATTTCCCAAAAAATCATATTAAAAAAGTTTAAAACAATAACTTGCTTTTGGCATTGAAATGGATTAGAATCTCACCATTTTCCTGGATGTCAGGAAGGCCAGGAAGTCATTCCCTTCAAGACCGCAACCAGTCATAGGAGTTCAAATGCAAAGCCTGAACGATGACAAGAGCGGGAGACTTACATTTTACAATTATATTTTTAATTAATACCAGAGCAGTGTGTACATAGTACGACATGCAGAGAACAGATCAAATCCCCTGACAGAATCACACACTTTGGTGATATCCTCTTCTGATAATGTTTCATTTTTTAGCAGCAAAGTAACATTACTCAAAGTATGTCAGACCCAACTCATTTACAGTATGTTTTGCATCTCCTCAACAATGGTCTGTATCATTGAGTAGAAAAAAACTGTCCCTACAATTTCAGGTAGATTAACACACATTTGTAAGACAAGTTTACAATGAAGCACAAAAACCCTCTTTGTATTAAGCGAGCTGCCACACAAAGTACAGCTTAACATGCTAACCTTTGGTAGAGAGCTACAGTTAGCTAACTTCATGTTCAACACAACACCTCTAATGGCATTACATTGACGATTTTAAACAAAACGTAACTCTCTCAACTTGTAAGATAACGTTAAGTTAACTTACCCTTAAATAACTACATCACCTTTTTCAGGGGAAACACAAACTGCAGAAAACGTTAGCTGCTAACTGTTGTTAGCTAAGACAGCTAGCCTCCTAGCAAACGTAAGGTTACGTTAACATTAACGTAACGTTGTAAGAAAGCAAAACGAACCTTCGAGAAAGCTTTTACTCTCAGACTTGGTGAAATTGTGTAGTGTTGCTTACCTCCAGAAGGACTTTTAGCGCGTTTCCCAGTAGACAGAGCTGTCAGAGCGGTGCCTCTCAGAAGAGCAGCCGCTGGGCGGAGTCACAGAAACGCTCAACTGATCTTCACTCCTCAACCGTTGTGCCGTTAGTGCCGTTAGTGCCAGTCAAAACATACCGCTTTGTTTCAACCACTGCCGTCTCGCCGTCCCCCCATGTCCCGCCCTCTCTGTCTGTCTGTGTCTGTTTCAGTTTAGCCAGCAAGACTGCTGGTAGACCAGCTTCACCAGCTTCACCAGCATCCAGCTTAACTACCAGCTAAAACCAGCATAGACCAGCATGACATCCATGCTGGTCTATGCTGGTTTAGCTGACCAGGCTGGTCTTGAACCAGCCAGAACAGCCTGGCCAGCTTGTCCAGCCTGGTAAACCAACTAAACCAGCCTAACACCAGCCTAACACCAGCCTAACACCAGCCTAACACCAGCTAAAACCAGCTAAAACCAGCAACCATCTTAAGCTGGTCTATGCTGGTTTTTTCAGCAGGACTAGTAACATTAGCTTACATTTCTGACAGAAACTTAAAAAACAGTCCTGCTAGCTAACTTTACTGAAAGGTATTTAAAAACAAGTAATATTAGATAACGTTCTTGAGTCTCTGTCAGTAATGCTATCTGTCAGTAATGCTAGGTCATTAGCTAGCATTACATTACATGTTAGATGCTTTTATCCAAAACAACTTACATACTCAATACTGCGGACAATCCCCACAGGAGTAATTTGGGTGAAGTGTCTTGCCCAGGGACACAACGGCATGCTGACTGCAGTGGGGTTTGAGCCTGTGACCCCCTGATCCGAACACCAACGCACTATCCACTGCATCACACGCCTCCCATTACTGACAGAGACTCAAGAACGTTAGCTGATATTACTGGCTTTGATTCAAAATCCAGTAACTTATGAGAGACTTAGGAGACTGTCACGTTAACTAACATTACAGATAGAAGCTTAAGAAGCAGTCACAATAACTAGCATTACTGACAGATATAATGTTAGCTACATAATGCTATATGCTAGTCATGCAGCCAAAACAACTATGATTTTGAAGATGAGATTTCTTCTATCTGAGGATCTTCTTCAACCAGCGAAAAACTACCAGTGTAATATTCAGAATACCTGAAGGTAATTTAGTAAGACTTCATTATGGTGTATTAGTCTTTCACATAAATATATAGATATTATCGAAAGACATCATTTATTTAGGGTTAGGGTTAGAGGGTTTAGACGGTCATGAATGAGTCTTCTGTGAAAGCTTTCCTTGGCATTCAGTTTCCAGGTATTTGACGGTCATGCTTATCGGCCGTTAACACAATATATTCCCTGTCTGCATGCTCTTCTATCTATAGACGTGTGTGAGTTGAGGACAGGGACGGTGGGCAAACATTTAAATAGCTGTGAGCAGCTGAGGGGAAAAGGTTAGCAAGAGAACATCACATGCAAAGAAACTGTAGCATCTCCCAAATGTCTTAAACTGATCAAATCTGATGATAAATTGGCTGTGTGAGGAACTCAGAGAGGTCACTACAGGTGATACTGTATATAAGGAAAGGATTAGAAGAGCTAACACAGTAGCAGAGGTTAGCAGAGCGTTGCTGTATTTACTTGGTTCTGCTCGGGTCATTTATTATCAATGTCTTTTGTGTTTGGAGCCGGCTTTTTGAGACATAAAGGGCCTGCTTCTTCATGAAATAGAAATGTTAGGATGTACTTTTTTATGTCCTTGAGTTGGTGTTCTGGATGACTATTTTCTTTTTTATATATTTATATTAGGAAGTAGTTATTAAAGCTAACTTCTGTAATGTTATCTCACATAAGTGACAAAGACTTAACCAGTTACATTAGCAAACATTACTGGCAGTGACTTAGAAACCAATAACATTAGCTAACATTATTAGGAGAGCGTTAAGGGCCAATAACGTTATTTAACATTGCTGATAATGGCTTAAAAACCAGTGACAGTGACTAAAGAACCAGTCATGTACTGACAGAGACCTAAGAAGTAGTAGCGTTATCAAACATTACTGACAGAGACCTAAGAACCAGTAAGGTTAGCTAGCATTAATGAAAGAGACCTAAGAACCAGTAAGGTTAGCTAGCATTAATGAAAGAGACCTAAGAACCAGTAAGGTTAGCTAGCATTAATGAAAGAGACCTAAGAACCAGTAAGGTTAGCTAGCATTAATGAAAGAGACCTAAGAACCAGTAAGGTTAGCTAGCATTAATGAAAGAGACCTAAGAACCAGTAAGGTTAGCTAGCATTAATGAAAGAGACCTAAGAACCAGTAAGGTTAGCTAGCATTAATGAAAGAGACCTAAGAACCAGTAAGGTTAGCTAGCATTAATGAAAGAGACCTAAGAACCAGTAAGGTTAGCTAGCATTAATGAAAGACACCTAAGAACCAGTAAGGTTAGCTAGCATTAATGAAAGAGACCTAAGAACCAGTAAGGTTAGCTAGCATTAATGAAAGAGACCTAAGAACCAGTAAGGTTAGCTAGCATTAATGAAAGAGACCTAAGAACCAGTAAGGTTAGCTAGCATTAATGAAAGAGACCTAAGAATGTTACCTAACATTACTGGCTTGGATTCAAGAGCTAGTAACTTAGCCAACATTATTAGGAGAGACTTAGGAGAAGGTAACGTTAGCTAACCTTATTGAAAGAGACTTTAGAACCACTCAAGTTAACTAACATTACTGACAGATTTAGAAACCAGTAACATTAGCTAACATTATAAAGAGAGTCTTAAGGGCCAGTAACGATATTTAACATTGCTGATAAAGGCTTAAAAACCAGTGAAAGTGACTTAAGAACCAGTCATGTTAGCTAGCATTACTGGTAGAGACCTTTGAAAGAAACTTAGGAGCCATTGTATATAAGGGAAGGATTATAAGAGGAAGGGAAGGTCACTGTGAGGTTATTGAGTTCATCCAATAACAGAATAGTCGCAGGTTTTATCCCCACTGTGTCCTCGGGGTCCAGATATGTGTTTCCGCAGCAGGAGATCCAGCTTAAGATCCAAACGGGCCAAAGCTGAATATATTTTGTATAGGAAGAAGTTTTAACTGCTGTTTTTATCTCTTCTTTCCTGGAGCAGCTGGCTGGTTTTATCGCTTCCTAAAGCTCACGTTTTAACTGCAATATGGTGTTTACTTTACTTTAGGAAACAAACAGCAACTTCACCAAGAAGCTGCCTGAATGTGCACAACATGTAACGCTTTATATACATCTACCGTACTGCTTCATGGCGCTTTGAAAGAACAGGCTGTGAAAACGTTCTGAATTGTAAACAACACAATGACGTGTGGGGCTCTTTATCCAGACATGCATTTGTCTATCTTTACATTACTAAAGCCTTTATGTGGCCTTTAGAGTCATTGATGAGGCTTGATAATCAATGCTGTTGCTGCAACATGAATGAACAGCAACAAGCCCTGAGCTTTTAGTGATTTCAACTGTCTGATTGTGCAGATGCAGCAGACATATGGCACAAATGCAGTAAATAGACCTAATATAAAAGGTCTTGTTGTTGTGTGCTTTGAAATAATGTGTCTTTGAGTCAGAGTTATTTATTTGTCTTATGTTTATATATATATAAGCGGATACAAGCGGCCGAGATGGGTTTTCTCCGCAGGGTGGCTGGCGTCTCCCTTAGGGATAAGGTGAGAAGTTCAGTCATCCGGGATGAGGGAAAGGAACGTTTGGGCTCCTTGCTGGAACTGCTAACCCCCCGCGAGAGAGTCATGGATGGATTGGATGGGATGGAGGATGGGTCGGATGATGGTGGGTGGAGGATGGATGGATGGAGGATGGATGGTGGATGGATGGATGGATGGAGGATGGATGGATGGATGGATGGTGGATGGATGGATGGATGGATGGGTGGGGGATGGTGGATGGATGGATGGATGGTATGGATGGATGGATGGAGGATGGTGGATGGGATGGATGGATGGTGGATGGTGGATGGATGGTGGAGGTGGTGGATGGTGGATGGTGGATGGATGGATGGTGGATGGATGGTGGATGGATGGATGGATGGGTGGGTGGATGGTGGATGGATGGATGGATGGATGGATGGTGGATGGATGGATGGATGGTGGATGGATGGATGGGTGGGTGGATGGTGGATGGATGGATGGATGGATGGATGGTGGATGGATGGATGGATGGTGGATGGATGGAGGGATGGATGGTGGATGGATGGATGGATGGTGGATGGATGGATGGGGGGTGGATGGATGGATGGATGGATGGATGGTGGATGGATGGATGGGTGGATGGTGGATGGATGGATGGATGGATGGATGGATGGATGGATGGATGGATGGATGGTGGATGGATGGATGGATGGTGGATGGATGGTGGATGGTGGATGGATGGTGGATGGATGGATGGATGGAGGATGGATGGTGGATGGATGGATGGATGGGTGGATGGATGGATGGTGGATGGATGGATGGATGATGGGTGGGTGGGTGGGTGGGTGGAATACCGTTTTTGGTTTTGAGGACTTCTCTGCAGCTCCAAAACACTTCGTTGAGATATTTGAACATATTTAGCCTCTAAAGAAAGTTGCCCTTCCTCCATCTAGTATTCCTTACATCTGTATTTAACTATATAAGCCTAAACCCTGCATCTTCTATCTAAATGCTTCTTTTACAAAGATATGTAATCATGTATTATATCGCTATAGTTCTGTTATGTGAATCTATTGAAACCTCATGCACTTTACTTCTCTTTGCACTTTCTGTTTGGATGCAAACTGCAAGTTGGATATTGTACTCGTCCATATTGCAAATTGTATAGATTTTCGACCCTGCAGTTGGGTTATCTTGCAGTCAATCTGTCAGTTTCTGTTTTACTCGTTCTGGGGCAACAACATTCAGACTGGGATTGTTCCTCCACGTTCCCAGCAGCCTCTGCAGAGAGAATAACACCACCAGTGTCCAGAGACTCCGACACATCCACACAAACAGAGAGGAGGCGAAGGGAAGGTCAGCCGTGGCAGACTCACATTCTTGGCAGGCTTCACGCCGACTCGTCATTAAAGAGGCAGAAACAGGGAGAAGCTGCAGAGAGCTGGAGAGATCTGATCTGAGAAACATCACTTTTATCTCGCCTCAGAGTGCGTGCAAGATTGTTTG